TGAGTGGTACTGAACCGAGCCGGTATCAGCTAGGAGAATCAAGGCATCCGTGCATATTGGTCATTCCTCCTACAAATAATGCTCAAAGGCTCCAGAATTACATGCATAAATTCAGGATCCCGTTTCAGGTATCAGAAACTTCAGTGAGTTACATTCACAGCTGCAGTAAAAGCAAAACTAACCTTTTTCTTTTCTGAAGACATCCTGAAACCAAGAATCAGGAACACTAGTTTACAAGTCTGTTGCTTTTAAAAATTGAGTTTGGGCAAAGACATGAAGTGCCTTGGCAGAACGGAGTCAAGTTCCATGCAAAAAGGCTCTTTGTTCTGGACGTGCCTTAGTGCTAAGCCTCAGACTGTGAAATAAGAGCAACACTCAGAATTTCAGGTAGAAGCTAAAACATTGCTTCTTATTTTATTACTTTGGTGGGTACGAGTCACATTATGCCCCTATGTTTTCAAAACAAGAGAAGAGTGATACAATATTTCCCCCAGATCAAGCCGCCGCAGGCAATATGTACTGCAGCCAACTCATTAGCAGTTTGTACAATAACAAACAAAAAAATCTGTAACTGCCTTATTAGACTATTGTATGATGGTATTTGCACGCACTGAATGGGTGTCTCAATTTGAGTGGAGGATGTAGAAGCCTTTTTTTTTTTTTTTTGTATTGAAAAAGCTGAAAGAATAGCTGTTTTTTTTAGTTAAGTCAGTTTCCAAGTATCGAGAGAAAAGAAAGGTATATCAGAGTTAAAACGTGATTTTAATTTATCCTTAAAAACACCATTTGAAACATAAAGGCTGAAATAGATATAAATATAACATAAATACACACAAAAAATATATTACTGTATTATATTGTATATATACTACATATATACATCTGGACATTTCTACATTTTATTAAGCTTTTGCAATTGAGAACACTGATCACTGACTTTTGTTTCTCTGCATTTACGGGCAGTCTTTACATTCCATTTTCAATATTGCTCCTTTTCTGCCCCAAAATTATGTTCCAAATTTGGCAGGCTGTGTGAGGCTGGAGTGTAGAAGGTAAAGAACAAAATACCTTTATTCTATAAAAAAAAAATAAGGAAATCTGAAGTTACAAAGTTTTCCAAGTCCTTAAATTCAGATTTGCTTTTGAAGAACACATGTCAACAGTTTTGATCAAATGATGATCTTCCCTCCTTCTGCCCTTGCTGGAGATACGTATTACATATTCTGAAGCAAAATTAAACAGTCTATTCACATTTTCCCATCAACTCTCTTCCCATTCAAGTGAGGGAATGCTGCCATTATATGCTGCTCTTGAATCTCATCGCAACAACCATTTAGCCAAAAAATTTAGTGTGTAATCCCTTCTCCTTCATTATCACTGAAGAGGTAAATAGTTTACCAGTGACCACTGCTAGCCCTGAATGATACCAACAAAAATCTTAGAGCTGAGCAAGAAGCAGTGTATTAATGGAGAGATAGGCCTCATTCACTCATTTACATTGATTAGGTTCTTCAGGTGGTTTTTACTAACTCCCAAAATAAACTTCCCCATATTTTCACTAGGTACTGAAGGGAGGCTGACAGGCCTGCAGTTTCCAGGGTCATCCTTCTTGTCCTTCCTGAAAACTGGGACAATGTTCATCAGCTTCCAGTCAACTGAGACTTCTGTGGATTCCCAACAATGTTCAAAAATCATTGAGAGAGGCTCATGACGACATCAGCAGCTCTCTGAGTGTTCTCAGATGAATCCCATCGTGCCCCATAGACTTGTAGAGATGCAGCTGGAGCAACAGGACCTGCACAGCTCAGGGTCAGCTGGGAGTCTGTCACTCTCACAGCCATGGTCCTCCAGCTCCGGGCACTCAGACCCCCTTAGCCCATCAGCAGTGCTGGGGACAGAAGCAAGGAAAGCATTAAACACCTCTGCCTTGTCTCTGTCCCTGTTAGGGAGGTGACCATTCTAATCCTGCAGTGCACCAGTGTTATCTCTGCACTGCCTTTCACCATTAATGATTTCAGTAAACTCTTTTCATTGTCTCACGCAGTTCTGGCCAGCATCAACTCCAGCCAAGTTTTGGCTGCATGAATTTTCTTCCTCACAGCAGCATCTCCGTTTTTCTCCCATGTCACCTAACCTTCCTTCCACTGGCCATACACCTTCTTTTTCTTATTTTATCTCCAAAAAATCCCTGCTCAGCCAAGCCAGCCTTCTGCCTCACTTGCTTGACTTCCAATATTTTGGAATTCCCTGTGCATTTAGGAGGTAGTGCTCAAAAAGTGACCAGCACTGATGAACTCTAGCACCCTCTAAAATGTTTGTTCAGAGACCTCATTACTAGTTCCTGAAGTCTGCTCTCCTCATGCCTACAGCTGAGGCACTTTTCCTCCTGTCAACAGATTTTAAACTCAATCAGTTTGAGGTCACTGTGGCCAAGATGGTTGTCAATCACCACTTCAGCCACTAAACCTCTGTTACTGGGCAGCAAATCAAACAAGGCATCTTTCCTACTCAGCTCCTTTACTACCTGTGATGCCATGGTACCATGAAGCTATCATGCAGGAGGCTTTAGGAATATTCTGGACACCTGAAGGACCACACAGTTATCTGTCACAGCCTGCAAGCCTTCATGAGGGGAAAGTCCTGTTTGTCAAACGTGATTTCTTTTTTGTACAAGGTAACCCACCTAGCTGACAAATGGAAACCAGTTGATGCAGGTTTTTTGGACTTCAGTAAAGCTTTTGATACTGCCACTCACAGGATCCTTCTGGACAAAATGTCCAGCCCACAGCTGGATAAACGCATCATGTGATGGGTGAACATCTGGCTCATGGGTTGGGCACAAATGGGGACAGTGACTGCGGTGACATTATGGTGCTGACCTGCCACTAGCAGCGTTCTGCAGGGCTCCATCTTTGGCCCTATGCTCCTCAACATCTTCATAGATGATCTGGACACAGGACTGCAAAACACACTGAAGTAGTTTGCTGATGACACAAAAAATGGAAGGAGCTGTTCAGAAGAGACCTTGATGAATTAGAGAGCTGGGCAATCACCGACGGTGTAGAGTTCAAAAAGAAAAAGCGCTGGATTCTGCACCTGGATGAGCAGCCCTGGCTATATGGAGAGATTGGGGAATAAGAGGCTGGAGAGCAGCCCTGTGGAAAGGGACCTGGGGATCCTGGCTGATGGCAAATTGAACATGAGTCAGCAGTGCCCTGGAAGCCAGGAGGGACAACCCTGTCCTGGGGGCATCAGGCCCAGCATCACCAGCTGGGCAAGGGAGGGGATTGTCCTGCTCTGCTCTGGGCTGGGGCAGCCTCACCTCGAGTGCTGGGGGCATTTTGGGGTACCACGATATAAAATATAAAGATTTTAAAGAGCGCCCAAAGGAAGCCCATAAAGATGATGAAGGACCTGAAGGAAGAGCTCTACAAGGAGCATCTGTGGTCACTTGGCGTGTTCAGCGTGAAGAAGAGACTGAGGAGAGACCCCACTGGCGTCTGCAAACTTCTTTGTGAGGAGAGGAAAGGGGAAGACACTTAACTTTGTGTCTGGTTACCAGTGACAGGGTGTAAAGGAATGGCCTGAAATTGTGTTGGGAGAGTTTTAGGTTGAGTATTAGGGAAAAGTTATTAACCTCAAGTGGGTTTGGGCACTGGAACAGGCTCCCCAGAGAAACAGTCTCAGCACCTGAGTTCAAGAAGTGTTTGGACAATGCTGTCAGGCACTTAGTGGGATTTTTGGGGTACCATGTGTGTGGCCAGGAGCTGAACTTTGATGATCCTTGTGGTGGGTCCTTTTCAATTCAGGATATTCTGTGATTCTACTCTGTGTTTGTAGCTGCAGGCATGTATCCAGCTGAATGACCATGTGAGATGAATACCTTCCACATACTTGCTTTGAACTTGCTGCTAAATTCAGAGGAGCTAAGAAAAACATGTAATTTTGAGTCTTACAAATTCTGCATAAATCTGTAAAACTGGACATTTCACATTATTACAGACAATATCCAGGGGCAGATCAACTCATGTGTGCCTCAAAGTAGATCTGCTAAAAGGAATGAACACAGCTGGAACAACCTTGGAGAATTCAGTATTGGCAGTGACACTGGATCTAAAAACTCCATTGAAACACAACTAAAAGCCAAGTGTGATCTGTATGCTGTCCATGAAAGAACACAGGCAGATATTTGCCTGTTTCCAGGAGGCCTCATAGCTCAAAGTTTCCTGCTTGGTCTGTTGTCACTTACTGCACATGAAGGCTTTCCTTATAAGCGACATGGATAAGAAGCCAAGTAATTCTTCACTGGGGAAAACATTAGTCTGTCTTTCTTCAGAACACCGACCTTCTTGAAATCAGCTCTCTTCTTTAAATATAAAAAAAAAAGGTAGTAAGAAAAAGTACAAATAATTGCTTCTATCAGGCACAGGTGCCTAAGAATTTTTCATGTTCCACCACAATTGACTTTCTACAGCCAATTCAGTATTTTGTAGTATTTGTAATATTTCAGTGAAATTTCTTGCTGAAGCCATCTACTGATCATTTGTGTGAGCTAAAAATTGAGTACTTCAGATTTAAAATCCAAATGGAAACCAGAAACACTTATGATTTAAAAGGTTAAAATTACTTTTTTCAGCCCATAGTCATTTACATTTTTGCACAGGCAAAACCCCAGCAACTTCAGACAAAATGTATTAAGTGTTTTGGAAGATTAAAAAAGTATACATGAAAAATCTAAACATATTCATTCTAACTGCTGGGAAGAGGACCAAAAAAGAATATAGCCCAAAGCAAAAGGTTTTTTTCCACCACAGAACAGCTGCTCTACACACAGCATTCTTTCTCACCCTGCTTAAAGTTAAACGTCTGAAAACCTAGACTGCAACTGTAAATTGTCAGCAAGGAAAGCAAGTCTTTGACACAATGAAATACTGTAGCAGTGCCTAGTGCCACTCTTGAGAACTCAACTTCCGTCTTGAAGAATACATAAAGGCAAGTCCTTCAATTCACAAGGCAAAATGCCTACAATTTTATTCCTAGAAAAACAGGATTGGCCAATTTTACAGATACATCTGGAAGTGCAGACTGCAAGATGCACTTAGTTACTTCTTCACGGTAATTGTGATAAAATGGTTGGCTTCAGCTCAGTTTAACACCTTTGAAAAGGTGTTTTAATACAGTTTCATGTATTAAAAATTTGACTGGACAGGGCATATACAAGTCAATGCTGTCCTTACTTAGAGCAGGAATTTGGACTGCATGACCTGATGAGGTGCTTTCCAGTCTGGATGATTCTCTGGCATGGCCATCTTGATACTCTTAGAAATTTTATAAGAATCCAACTCAGGAACTGAGTATTTTACCTAAACTCTTGCATGTAGTTTAGTTCATCATGTTCTTGCACTTAGAGAGGTTGAGGAACTTGAAAATACCACTCTGGAGTCTATACAGTAAAATATAACACACAAAACAGAATTTCTTTACATGCCTCTTTGGTGAATTATTTTATAATACATACAGCGAATTCTCTTTTTATTTCATACACTGTACACTAAAACTGCAATCAACAGTATTTCAAAAGAAACTAGTTTCCAAGTTCACCATACCTTCCATTTCAACACTTAGGCATTTAAAATACATGAAAGTTAGATTAATAATAAAGTAGACCTGAAGTCAGAACTTACAAAGAGCAACATCTTTGCATTATTTTACCATGACTACTTTCCATAAGTGATAACTACACAGTGATTGATGATTAAAACGCAGATCAGTTTACAGCATTCACAAAAACAGACTTGCCACATGAATGTGAAAAAAGCAGCAGCCTCTCATAATTTAAAAGTGACTTTCCACATGCTTGTCTTAACTTGCAAAAACCATCTCCCCACCCCTATATTTACTGATGAAACCAAGGACTTGGTTATTTAGAATAATTAAAAATAATTTTCAGGCTGAGTCTGAAGGGGGAAGAGGGCAAAAATTATATATTTCAGTGTCTCCTTTGCACATAAACAGGCTTAGCTCTGCTCCACGAAATATTTAAACCAGCAGAGATTTTAAATTACAGACATCAGTGCTAAGTACTTAAGGAGACAATTTTATACACACCCTTCCAATCTAACAAAAGAGAAACTCTAGGAACAGCCAATTGTTTTTTAGGTTTTCTGTACACTTTGAACACCACCACTACTACTACTACTACACCACAGATTTGTATGATTACTACACTCTCATATATGGAGCATTAGATTAAAACTAAACCCTGAAGTTGTCAGTGGAAAGTCAGCTGAAAATGACATGCACACAACAGTTCCTATTTTGCTTTATTCACACACTTAGTTAATGCAAGCCTTGCACACAAACTGCAGGACAGCCAAATCTGCATTCTGGGCAACTTTGCCCCACACTCATTTTTTGTTGTTTTTATACAAAGCAAGAGATTCCCATTTGTCACCTTCTGTGACACTGTAGCAATGTAAGTCTTCTATGAAGTCTTCTATGTACCTGTAAATTATTACATTTAAGTCTACTTAAGTCACTTTTACAGGCTCTATTTTACTCACAGTTCCATTAACAGTGAAGTTAGAAACATTTTTAAAAGACCAGTAAAGACATCAGTCCCCTTCTTGCAAGTCCTTACAACTTAAGAAAATAAACTCCTTTCAACTGGCTAACAGTCCATATTAAATATCAGATGTGATGCTTATAAAGCAGATACTAACAATTCATATCCATTCCTTACGTCAGAGAACTGGTAAGAGGAAAAGTAAATCCTCAATGCAATCATATTTGAAATCTGATCCCCTTTGTATGACTGCATATGACATACTCAGTTTGTGTCTGTAATTTTTAAACAGTCCATTTCTAATTACACTTCGGAAACTATATCCCCATTTTTAAAACAAGTTGTTCTACAGTGTAAGGAGAATCCACAGGGTGGATTCCCCAAAGTTCATTTTCTAAGCCATTTAAACAGTAACAAGGTTAGCAAGTCAATCATGTCCAATGTGCTAGATCCAGACCTGGACAGATTAAGGAACATTTTGAAGCAGTGTTGAGTAAATAATTTTGGTAAGCTGTAAAACTGCCACATGCAAGGTATACTGTACTATAACAGCTCCAAATCCTTTATAAAAACCTTGCATTCCTTCTTCCCGTTTTATAGTATTTATGCAGTCTTTCATTCCCTCATACTGAGTATTGATTGGAAGCACTTCATAGCCAAGGTCTGTATTGTCAATTATTGTGCGTGTCCCTTGAATATGAAGGCGGTGCAAAACTGTTTCCAGTGGGTAAAGCATGACATCAGCACAAAGGCTAGCTGCAAAGCTAGCAATAAGTTCTGGAAAATACGCATCCAGTATTCTCTGCACGGAAGTGGAGCTCTCAGTTGAAAGGTTGTGGGAATTATCCCTTTTCAAAACAAACAAGACAAGCTTCTGGACAATAGAACTGATGACGTAGTGAAGAACTCCATGCAGAGCAGTGGGAAAAGTCAGGATCATCAGAGGAAGGAGACGCTTGCTATGGGGTACTCCCAAGCCTACAACTCTGCCAATTCCTTCTTTCACACAGTCCAGGATGCCGGGATTGTCTCGAACGATTTCACTCTACAAGCACAAAGAAGGAGTTACAACTTGTGCTGAGCACTTCAAAATCATTCTGACATCCAATCTGACACTTCATCACTGCTGAACTTTTAAAAAAGAGCTAAACACTTCCATGCTATTGTATGTACACAGCTGTAGAAATAAAAGTCCCTTCTAATAACACTCTTCATAGCATTCAATTAAGCTGCTTCTTAAAAGAATGAACCTATCTTAAAGAGGTGAGTGTTTTTTAATGTATATTGCAGTCATCTGTGTTTCTCCTAAAGAAATTTAACTTTCAGCTTACTGCTGGAAGTATCAGAATGCAAAACAGTCATGAACTTAAAATGTCTACATATGAAGCAAAATGCGAGGAAGTACATATTTAATTCCAAATTCCTTTACAGGCTATGACTATAACCACTGAAACCTTGAATCTACATAGTAAAGATTTATTATATAACTAGTGTTGAAAGGTCATTTTTGACATGAATTTAATAGGTTCTGTTTGGAATGTTTTCATGGCATTATATGCATTTAAAGCAGTTTTCTTTACCCATGCTGTCTTAGAGTTCTGTTCATGTACTGAAAACGAACATTGTGTAATAATTATTTACTCTGTTACATTCCACCTGTGAGTGTGGATTCAGCTAAAAACATTATTTACCCTACTAATGGTTACACTCCAGTGTTTTATCATGGGGTTTATTTTACATCCAAAATTCAAGATTTTGATGTTCTCCTAAATGTCCAAGTCTCTGAGTCCATGTGGTCTATGTCCTCACCTCTTGCCAGAATAAACCACTAGAATATTCTTAAGTATTTTGAGGTAATACTGAACAGCCTACAGAGCCTTCACAGTCTTTTCTCTGCAGTAGAGAAACTAGTTCAAATGCCTCAGAACACAATGTTGTTGCAGACTTCAAATACAAATTAAGCAGCAAGTTAAGCAGCACATCCCCTACTGGCTCCTCTTCTGTCCCACATCACTAAGTCACTGCACTTCATTCTTGCTTTGGCCTAACACGCCACCATGAGGTTTGACATGCTAATGACAAAGGAACAAATGTGACAGCTACAAATTTTCACCATTTACAGCTATTTTGATAAAATGTATTTACTTGGATAACTGTCAGATACTTTGAACAGCATGGTTTACCAGAATTAAGACAATCAAAGTCAATATAACCCTGCTAGAAGGAAATCCAACAATCTTTAACTTTTCTGGTTTGTCACTGGTCATTATCCTCTTGCAGCACAGGAATATAATGCAAACCTGGCAAGCCAAGTTGCTCCCCTGCACCGATTAATACAGTATAAAAATCTTCACAAATTATATTATTACCTCTGCTGTCCTTCTTACAAGCTTATGACGTTTCCAGGAACTCAAGAACATACACACACACGTTCACTAAAATACCTGCACACAGCTGAAGCTATGAATCTTAAAACCCTCAGACCTCAGTGGAATTTTCATAACCAATCCATTATAGAGAAGACCACCTACCTAAAAGCCTGAGAGATGCTTTTTTGGGCTTTTTTATTGTTTTCTTAATAAGTTTCTCTCTAGCGAAGAAACCTTATACATCTTTATGTTTTATCTGCTGAACACATAGATACAGCATGTTCCTATTTCATATGCAATATAGTCCAACTGTCTGCGTTAAATGTCCTTTCCAATTCTAGATGTAGAGTTAAGATAGAACACTAATATATCCTTCACAGTAAACACCCATTTCAGCTAAGTCACACAACCTCAAGCAAAACAAATGCAACTACTGCAACATACACTTGAATTCAGATTTATTTCTCCACATAATCTAATCTATAGAGTAACAGGAACTTTCTAAATGTTGCAAATATATATGTTACCTGTACAGTTTCAATCAGGCTCGCAGAATAAAAAGGCATTGCTATCACATGTGTTGTACATCAACAAGTTGAGATAAGCTTCAGTCAAAAGTTTAGTTAAATTCTATTTCCATGTGACCAGACTAATTAAGGTCTAAAAGAATCTAATATTTTAAATCAGTTGAGTTCCATTGACACCGGGATCTAGTATGAGAAAACCTGTGAAAGTGGTATATGTAATCAAGATTGTTAAAAAAAATCAGCATTTGAAAAGTACTGTTAGCACCTTACCAAATAAACATAGCAGTAGACTAAACTTATGTTCATTTGCTAGTTTTATTATGTTTAGATAGTAAGACATAAGACACATGCCATACTTACCCTTTGAGTAAAAGGTGTCCACCTATCTGCTTGAAGTTCCATTTATGTGAAAGCTCTCTAAAAAGAGAAGTATTTATCACAATATTAATAATCATCCACATCTAATTCTCAAGAAATTCTTCCATGCGTGTCAACAACCAGTTTTCATATTGGTGTTCTACGATTTATGTTGAAGCATTTCCCATTTTGGAAAGACACAGCAAAACATTTAGTAAATCATGCTTAACTTCTAGTAGTTTTTTGGACCTGACAGACTTCTATTTGAAAATATTTCAGTTATTATAATAACATATTAAAATAATGTATTTGCAGCTCTCACTGACTGTACTGACTTTAATCAGTTCTGCATTTATTTAGCAACCTTATGTACAAGCGCTTAAAGCAATTTTCAGGGATCACTGGAGTACTTTAAAATCTTCATACTTCAACAAGAAATCATTTTTATTTCATTTTGGTTTGGTTGTGCTCTTCTCTTCTTTAGATTATGTCTACCCTGTTGTTGTTTCTGTCCAGAAAATCTGAATCATATTCTAGCACAGTTAGACAAGAACAAATCAAGTACAAGAGGTCAGACTAGAAGTTGCACAGTAATTCCATACAGACATAACTGAAGTTTTTTGTCTTATGATGAGTTCTTACCATATTCTGATAAAACAGAAGAAAACCCATGTGTTTAACACAAAGGTGACATAAAATATATTTCCTTGAAGTGGTATTTCTAGTTATACGCTTCAAAATACAAACAGCAAATGTTTACATTCCACTTGACAGAAAATGTAAACCCACCTAGCTCAAGATACCATTCAAATACCACACGTACTTACAATGCATATAGTCAATACTCTAGTCATGAGGTACAGATACCTGCCTGAAGTGCTGGCACACTAGACTTTGCATTTTTTATAACAAGCTATAAAGTGCTCAGCTTCAAGTGTTGTCCAGGAATCACAATTAGACACTGCTTGTAGTTAAAGTAACTCTAATCCAAGATAGGCAAGATTTTACTCTTTTTGAAGAATTGTGTGTTGCCACTAGCTATCACATTTTAAATACATAGGTCTATCACTAAACAGGAACAGAAGATGATTTTTACCATTACATATTTCAGACACTTGGATCACATTCACTTACCCATAATACTTAAATGATGTGGAAAATTAAATCAGCCAAGCTAATGTGTGAAAGCCTCACCTGTCAACCCGCAAGGTGTAACTGTCCCTGTAGTGGAAGAACAATTACGCAACAAGTTTGTCTAGTACAAAATGTTCACACCCATTTCTGGTCTCCTCTCCTAAAACAGGGATGTTCTTTCATATAACTATAATATAGAATAGACATTTCACTTCTCTGTGTTCTTCGGAGCGTGATAATGTAATAAAATAACCTTTTAAATTGGATTTACTGGCACTGCTGCTACAAGCAATAACCTTCTCCTCCCTGTGACCAACCAAACATGCAAGCCACCATTATAAAGGAAGAGAGCATTCAGTAGAAAACTGCTGTGGGGTGGTGTATGTATGAGACAACCATTTAACCAGATCACTTTCCCAGTCCAGTTAATTTTCTGACTGTTCACATATTTTATTTCCACAAAGATGGGAGCAGCACAGAGGAAGGAATGAGCTGGGTCCAGGAGAAAGGTTTGATTCTTTTGGCAGCAGCACCAGATTACTTTTCAAACTGCTTAACTGGCCCACAAGTACAAAATCATTCCTCACATTTGCAAGAATTCAGAACTACGAAGATAAAAATACTGTATCACATCTCATGAACTTAAGCATACCCTAGAGCTGTATCTGAAACACACCTGGAAGAAAGCACATGTCTGGAAATTTCAATTACCTATGAAACAGTGCTGACCAAAAACCTTAAATACACACTCTACGTAATTTAAAAATAAAATGCTTTTGAACTTGAAAATGCCTACTCTTATTAGTATGGATGCATGCATCATAACAGTATTTGATTTAGCCGAACCATATTTCTTTCTTCTTTTTAAACCCAGGGTAGTTTCCATATCCCTGAATATTTTTAGTAAAAATATAACTGAATTTCTGTAGCAGAAGATTGACACAGGGATGCAGAATGACGAGTATCACTTTGAAAATAAGTCAACAACTTATTAGTTTGTTAGAAGCAGTGGGGGGGAAAAAAAAAAAAAAAGCAGTACCTTGGCAAAGGTGTAAATTCACTGATGATGCCTTCTGTACCAAGGGTTATGCCCTGAACAATGAAAGTGCTGCCCATTCCTTTCCAGAGAGCTCTTGGACCCTGTGTGTTGAAATATGAAACATAAAATTAAAAAAATTTCTCAACTTATCAAGTAAAAAATTTCAGTAAATTCAGACCACACAGGGCTACAATTCTACCATTCAACTTTGTCATTAAATTCAAGTAACAACTAATTTTTTAATATTTGAAGAAATTTTTGTTTTTCAATAATTTCAAAGACCTGTCAATAATTTTGGAGGCATGTCTCCCACTGTTAATACTCTGTATTATAAACTTAACACCATTTTCTTTGGACAAAATGAGATGTCAAAAGTACATCCATAAGAAATTCAGAATTAAGGATTTCTTCCAGCCTTCTGATCTGAGTTTAAGGATTGCCATTCCCCTGCAGATCTGGAAATGTATTCAGTACTGTCTTTGGAAGGAGCCACTTCAGCAATAAGTTGCTTATCCACAAAATGATTAATTATTTTTCTGAACCCTAATGAAAAAAAAGTTAGTTTGCTTTCTAACATACATAAATCTTTCCCCACTAAGCACTGCACTTCTGAAAAAAATAATAGTTTACATGATCATCTTGACACATTTCTGTAACCATAAAAATAACAACCCATTGTAACAGCCATATTTTTTAACACCACATACATACACTTAGAGATTTCAATGTACATACATGCTGTAGGAAGTGTCAGTGCTCAGATACAGCCTGACAACAAATACTGACCTGTGTCTTATTGATGCAGTACATGATATTGACAACTGTAAATGGTGTGAGATGATAGTTCCGTGCATGATAGTTAACCTGTTAAAGACATAAATAATGACAGTCTTAGAAACACACTTGCAGATGCTACAACTCTGAAGGATAAAGGTGTTTCAAATGTAAAAATTTTATCTCTGTAAAGATCAGCTAAAAGTAATTCTCATTGAAATTTAGGGAAATGGGCAGCCTTTTCAAGTGTTTGTATGCTGGATGTTTAAACAATAAACCATGCAAAAAGCAGAACCTATGAAATAAAGGTTCTGCTAGTAAATGGGGATCTGAAAGTTGCTCTGCAGACCCCAAAACACTTACTTGCTGTAATTTGCTTTCCACTGCCCAAACAAAAATGAGTAAGATTTTTCAAAATAAGCTAACCTGAAAAATAGAAAATATGTATTCTACACATAAAAACTTTTTAATATATTAGAGTCCCCCTAAAAATTGCAAAGCTTCCTATACTATATACTTTAGTACAGATTATGAAAATACAGGAATATGACAGTACACAGGAGCTTTGACTGGAATAGGTAATATAAAAGACATACCTGACATTGACGACGTAGAACAATGCAAGGATGTGCCAACACATTTTCTGTAAATAGGCTTTAAAGGAAAATTGTATTTAATGCATGGGAAGAAACTAAAAATCCCTTAGAAAATGCTTGTTAATTGTCTCTAGCAGCAGCAGATCAGTATTTGGAAAAGCAAGCTATTTCTACCGAACAGGGCATTTTTGATGGCTATCCAAAGTGTCCCGAAGAACAAGTTACATAAAATCTGACATATGCATTTGCTACAAAGAAAACCCATATATATGTAAGTATGCATATTTTTATAAGCAAAAAAAACATAGAAAACTACTTAATCTCATCCTCCTCAAAGTATCAGGGTACAAAAAAACCCACAACCACAATTATGAAAGGATTAGTTCCCAGTTTTATGCTAATTCCGTATACTGCATTACTAACCAAGACTGTCCCTAAGAGGTCCAGAAAAGGACTGATACTAATGGCTGACTATGTTTTCACCAAAAACACTACTGACCCAAATCAAATCTCCTACCACTGCCAGAAGTTATACTTCAATGAAAACTCCACAGAAAAGTTCTCATTTCCAGAGCAGAATTCAGCCATTCAGAGAAAATATTAATGTGATCTCAATGTGCCTGAGTGATCCAAGTACTTGCTTACCTGTATGTTGTTCAAACCTGGGACATGAATTAGAAAAGTAGAACATCCAGGATTTTCACAAACACCCCAAGCTACAGGATCATCTGTGGTAGGTTTCTGAATTCCCAACAAACAAGTGCAAGTGGCACAGAAAAATACTTCAGTTTTGTAACTATTGAGCCAATTAGCAGTCAGCTACTACTAAAAGAGGTAAAATTTTCTCTGGACATCAGCATCTTAAAGTTCACCACGTTCTCAAAAATGCTATCAATAATCAGGGTCACCATAATACAGAATAAAATGGCCATCAGGCCGCTTGGTTATATGAATATTATAGTCCCAGGATACTTTGGTAACATACTTGAATACATTTTGACCATCTTAGGAAACATCTGTATTGCCTAAAAATATTAATAGAAGTTGCAAATGTCAAAAAAGTTTTCTGGTGTTACTTTCAGATCACTTGGAGAGGATACACACATCCTGGGTATTCCATATGAAAAACTGTTTCCTACATTCACATAGATATTTTCTGTGCAACAGTTAAAGAAAACAGAAACCTAAATGGGGACAGTAGGTTTCTAAACACATTTCAACTGCTTATGGCTACTGGAATAAAAACACAATATAAAAGTGTATGTAGGGTTTATAAGGCAAACAGGAGCTTTACTACCCCTTTGCAACTGAACACAACTCTTACCTTGCAAGGCCAATACCAAAGCCAGCAAATCTGTTCAACTGCTCTGGAAAAAAAGACAAAATACCAAAATAAAGCCAGATTATACAGCAATGATAATCACAAATTAGGAGAAAATACCATGCACATGATTTGAAAAACTGATTTTATCCTGTACTTGCATCAGAAAGTTACAAGCACTAAACCACAATATTTATGGCAGCTCAACAACAGAGGATATAAAAAAAATTATTCCCCCAGGAACATTTGCACTTTGGACTGCATTTGAGTTTTTACATACTCATATATAAAATTATGCTTTTCTTACAGGGAAATAAAGAAGAGAGAAAGCAAACAATAAATCAGTATCTTAATATCTAAAAAAACTCCCCCAAACCAACTACTGAAAGATTTAGCATGCATGAGCTTACAGCAACTCTGAAACATAAATTTAGATAACTGAGGTGAAAGTAACATTAAAACAGTAAAAGGGCAAAATTTTGGGAGAAGTTACACAAAAAGCCATGGATGAAGTAACAAACATCAACATAAAGCAAATTTTCAAGCCTGTTGTTTATCTGCAGTTCTTAGCAAAAATTCAGTTACTGGAAAATTATGAAAGTGATGAATTCAACTCTCTGTTGTCTGCTGCCGAACATACATTTGGGACACTGGGAATTATCAGAAGGGTTTCAAAGACAAGCATCAGAACAGTAAAGGCATTTTAAAGTTAATGCTCTGCCCTACAATCTTCTAAGTGCAAACAGTGTGAAAGCATGGATAAAGTCAGTAACTTCAGTAACACCAATGTGGCAGCACTCCCAGAAATGGTAAGATACCATTTGCAGCTGCAGGATTCAGTGATTATAGCAACTCCTTATCAGTCCTCCAAAGTGCAGAATGAACACACCTTCCATATGTCGATAGGGGGGAAAAAAAATGTAGGGTCCAACTATCCAAGGATACCTAACCAGTGCCTGCATGGACAGAGTACAGCTAAAGGCTGTACTCTTTATAATACCTGAATAAAAACAGTGTACTACAGGTCAGAAAAGAAAGACTCACCTACTAATGTAATTCGATTTCAGGTAAATTAATTTAATAAATCTTTTGACACTCAAGTGTCTACAAACTGTTGCTTTTAATTAAAGACAACATACAGTACCCTAGATACAGCAAGTTGTCCTTAATTCACCTCAATTTCATGAAGACTTAAAATAACTTATGTGTGCGTTTACTCAGTTTCCCAATAATTACTAAAAAAGCCTTGAACTCAGTTGCTTCCTTAAATCCTACCATACCCACAGTTCCCTTGCTATCACGCGTGGAGGGGGGAGTGGGAACGTTTACGTCAGCAGCTCATGTTTTAAACCCGAAAGAAGCCACGCAGCCCGAAACAACAACACAATTACGTAGCACTCTAAGACCCAAAGACACTTCCTGACCTTAAAGAAGGCGGAGTGTTTCTGCAGAATATATTTTGCATGGGCAATGAGGAGCAAGCTGACCATACACTGCTTAATGAGAAGCTGCGGGGCGCATTCTGGCACTATCAAATTGCATTTGCGTGGAGCAACATAGTGCTGGAGCGCAATAGGCAGCGACGGAGCAGTCCGTGTTCTTCTAAAGGATTTTCTTCCCCCGCGCTACAGCACCATAGTAAAAAGGAGGGCCCGGGAGACGCCCGGCCCGGCCGCAGCAGGCCGAGCCCGCCGCCCGTCCTTGCCCGGCGGGTCATTGCCCGCGGGAGGTGGGAACCGGGGCGCTCCGGCGGCCGCCCCCGGGCCAGCCCAGACTGGGCCCTCCCTTACCGGCGCCGGGGCCGCCCGTCCCGAGGTTGGCCTCCTC